AAAAGAATCATGAAACTTTAAAGAAATTTGTGCATGTAGTAGATATTCAATATTTTGACTTGTCCATATTTTTATAATCAAAGGTCAATCTTTGTAACATTATGCTCTTCATCTTTTTAACGTCTTATTTTAATAAAAAAAATGATTACTGCAGCAATTTGTGACACACTACAGTGGTTTAAATTATTTTATTATTGAAAATAAACTTATTTTTGAATAACGAATAAAATAAAACTCAATAACTACTCCAACATGTTTTGCAATTTGCCATTTCAAAGATCCATGAGACTTACAATAAGTAAAAATTCTTCTTTTATAATTATTCGAAGGAGTCAAAAATCTATTTGTTTACAAATCATTCATTATGAAGTAGAATAAAGTCAAAGCATTAACAGAAAATAATAATAAATTTAATTATATATATATTTACATATTTATTTATTTCTATATTTACATGTGACAACACGAATAAAAGATACAATATAACAAAAAAATATAAAAATAAGTACATGATATAGTTCAAGGCATTGAACACTTACGCATGTTTTCAGATAAATTCAGCAAGCAAAAAAAATAATTCAATGATACGAAGTATACAGAAAAATTTTGAACAAATATTATGTAATATATGTTAACAAAATTCACAAAACACACACATTAATATATAGAATGTATAGTTTTAAATCACAAACATCTTCAAACATCTCCCATGCATAGCACATGTTCACAAGTCTGATTATTTGTAGTTGCTTTTTATAAGACAGCTGTAATATATTTAGTTTACATATTTAAATTGTAGTTAATTTGAATAATTACACATTTTACACTAAATTTTTAACAGATTTTTCAATTATCAAAGTAAATTGAAGATTGATTATGAATGAAATTTAAAATAATTTATGTAAGGTTTCATTGTATTAAAAGATCTATAATTAAATTTGAAAATTTTTAATAATTTTCTATGGTTTTTTTTTGTTCTTGAAAATTTATTATAAATTAACTCATATTTATCATCAAATGGAATTTTACAAAATTTCCATCTTACTTGTTAAAATATGTAATATTATAGAAAATCATATAGAATAGTAACAACCATTTTAAAGATATAATTATTTCATTTTTTATGTCACAAATTTGTTAAACTTTGATAATACATATAATCGAGCTTAATTTTATAGAACTAAAACATATATTCCTAATTTTTTGTAAAAAATAAAATATTCGTTCTTTACACTTTATTGTATGATCAAAAGTTTTTTTTACCAATTATCATTACACTTTGTTTCTAGAAATGGATATGTGAGTAAGTTCAGAGATGAAGATACTGCAAATTTTATATCTAATTTAAATCAAAATATGTGATTCGTATGACTAGCAATTAAACAACATTTTCAGTTATTTGTGTTGAAACGTAAATTATCATATGTCTAGAAATCTGTTGTTTTTTATTTGGTGTACCAAATTAAAAACATTCATCATAAAAGCATTAAGTAGTTTATAAAATTGTGTGTCTTGTGAAATAAAATATTAATGCCAAAATTATTAAATTATTTTATGTTTTCTTCACATGAGAAGAAAAAATCTGAATATTTTTTTCAATATGACAAGTTTTCTTTTAGAATTTCAAACTTGCTTCAATTTGCTAAAAATAATCAAATTAAGATGTTCTACAAAGAAACGCTAGATATGATCTTGAAAATTTAAAAGACTTTAAGTTTTTAAGATTAATACTTTGTTTTACAAATCAGTTACTCAAAAGAACGAGAATATTTTTAATATTTTGTTGTTAATATCTAGTTAAGATGCAAACTATGAGAATATTCATTTTCATGATGTTGCTTGTAAAAATCAAATCACATATTCTATTAATATATAATGCGTATAAACAAATCAATTTGAACTTCATATCAGTTCGAAATGATATTGTATTGTCAATCTATTGATCCATAAATTGAAAAATGTGCTTTTCCAAGCTATACAATATTTATTTTTAATTTTATATATATGCATCAAATATTCATAATCTTTAACTAAGTTCTTCACCATGCTCAAAAAATTCTACAGTGTTAAATTAGATAGTGACACATTGTGTTAAATTGTTACATAACATAAAGTTCTATTCAGTTTGATATTTAAAGGCGTCATGATATTTTCGTTTGATGATTATCAACAGTCATATTATGAATATCATATATGAAATGATATATGTGTTGTTTCTATAAAAAAATCAACACATTTTTCTTACATTTGTTTAAGAAATTCTGATTGCATATTTCAAGATAATTGCATGAGTAGTATATTAAGATAAAGAAGTATATTATTGAACGATGGAGTTTGTACGGCTTGATCTATATTTGAATTTGAAATGTTTATATCGTAAAGATAATATGATCCAAGCACACAAATTCAATATTCTACAACGTACTTATTCGTGAATAATTCTTCATAAGTCATAAAAAAGATTTAATTTTTTTAGTTTCTTATATTATCATATGAAATCATTTCAAATACATGTTAATTCATTTGGTTTGATTTTTCTTAGGTTCAAACTTTTTTAATAATATTTTTAATCAAGTAATAATGTGACAATACAAATTCTGTTATGGGATAAGCTCTACAATATAAGGTAATTCAAGAAAATAATTGAAAAAATTAATAGAAATAAAAATATTTTCAATAGCTCTCTCAAAAAAATTATACTTATACACCCATGTTTAGAACTGTTTTAGACAAAATGTTAAAAAATATTACTTTTTTTACATAAAATTTCAGTTAGTCTTTATCTCATACTTTTCTTTATCATTTTTTTGAGCCGGATGTAGAGCAAAATAAAGATTAGTTTATTATTTGCTTAGAGACTGGAAAAGCATAATCCTATGTGTGATTTAAACAAGTATCAATTCTTTACGTTCATTTATGGCTTTATGTTGGAAGTAAGTTTTGATAAATTTTTTAAATATTTTATCTTGATTTCAAAAATAATTCAAACAAATTAATAAACCAAATAACAAAGTCTCAAAATTGATAGACATGTAAAAAATTAAATGAAATCATCACGTCAATTCTAATACATTAAGGTTTAACGTTAGATTTATGATCAGGGATAATTTTAGAACGATATACCCATGCAATGATACATGCTGGAAATAAATTATGCCATAAATATATATCATTTGTTGTTATGAGGTCAAACCCTTACAAGATTTTTTTATTTATGCTATGATAGATTCTGTTATTGCGTTGTCATATTGGAGATATGAATAAAAATTCAAAACACATCCTGAAACAAGAACAAGAAAACTGACAAATAAATTTGATAGGTTTTTCAAATTGTATAATATTAAAATAACGATGGCAAAGTCTAAATATTAGTTGATTACATAGAAATAAAATCACCCATAAAATGGACATCTGTAGATTTTGTAAACTACAAAGTATATTGTATGTGTTATATGCTCATCTCAGTTATATATAGTATGATTTATTTCATTAAAAGTTTGGAAAATTATAATTTATATTTTCCAAACTTGCACTTTATTTTCAAACATTTATTATTTAAAATTGAGATAATGTGATAGCATTTTAAATTGCAATATTCAAATTTGTTTTTAAAAATTGTAATAATTTTTGTATATAAGAATTAAAAAATAATTCAAATTCAGTAACTAATATAGAACTGTTATTCAAACCTGTATATTTATTTATATTTATTTGAATATTATTTATTTTCAAATTTTGTTGTTTGCATTCAATATCTTTGATCATATAGATTATTCTACAATTTGAATTTTCAAGAAGTAATGGATCATTATGCTTTAGGTATGATAAAACATATACTTCACATCTAGTCCTTCTTCATAAATTTACCATTTACCATATTTAAACAAACATCTAACATTTACCATATTTAAACAAACATCAGTTCATATATATGAAATGATTTAAATTTTATATACCAAATTTAATATATTATGATTATGCATATATTTAAAGGTTGAATTTGGAACTTTAAAATCAAACAAATATAAGTATACTCATTTAAGTGATTTTATTACAAATCATAGGAAAAAAGAATTTCGGGATTTACGTCTTGGATTTACAATAGAGAATACTCAGTATGCATACTACGAGAAAAGTATATACAATACTGCGTTTGCATGCGCCAAGAAAATAATGTATGCAAATTATAAGATATATGCTAGCATGTAGAAATCCAAGGTGTAGATAGCCTTAATTCATGTGTGAAATATCTCAATCTAGCTGTCCAACCAGGATATTATACCCCCAGAGACGCCTAGCGGCTGTCCGCAAAGGCATCAAGCGACAATCATGCAGTTGACAATTGAAGGGAATTCCAGATGACAAACGGCGCGTCATCGGATTCCTCAAAGGGTACGATGCTACCTTGCTTTTGCACATGTGAAACTATAATAGTTTCTTTATAATTTTAAATATCAAAATATTAGTCGACTTTTGTGTATTCTATGTATAACATATATACGGGAATTTCAGGGACTTGTGTCCGAGACTTGACTCCATAAGAAGGAAATATTATTTTAATAGTGCTTTTGGCATCCAGATTTTTCTGTAGACCTCAGTATGCTGGGCCGAGGATACAACTAAACGACAGTTTTCTGTATGACGCGTACATCAACATATCTTCAATATACAAGAATCTTAATAAGCTATATGAATATATTGTGCGTCCAATCTTAAGATCGTATTTGTTTGTCAATTTTATGAGCCCACTTTATTATTTATCTACCTTTAATTTGAGAATTTCTTAAAGGTATGAAAATATCCATGAAAAAAAACAGAATGATCTTTGGGTCCTGACGAAGCTCGAATTAATTCTGCTTTCTTACCTAAATTTAGAGTCAGCACATTTCAAAACCGAAGAGAATTCTGGACAGAAGTCTGCAATAGTCAAATGAACTAGGGTCTTGGATTCTTGTATGTGGCTCGATTTCCGTTAGTGGATCGTAAATATATCCACTCAGATGCTTGTCTCCCGTCAAAGTAAGCCGCTGTGCAACTTTCTGTGGTTTGCAATATTCCTGTGTGGCCAGGACCAAGCTAAAACAGCCAATCACCACTCTCCACCTTTTTCCTCCGGTCGACCGTCTATCCAGTCGCTGGGTACCGTCATCACCGGTAAATGGTCGATTCACCTGAATCGAAAAGCCTCCGTCGACGAAGAGTTGTTCGGTTGCCGGCGGAAGGACCCAGCGTCGGCATTCTCCAGCCTCCGGACGCCGGAGTCTCACTTCTTTCCCAACCTGGTACAGAAACTACCTAACTACGTAACAGAATGTCAACGGAGTTCCGGAACAACGAACAGAAAGGCTCTACAGGACTACTGCGTGCGCGAGAGGCTCGCCACAGTGGCTCAAATCGTTGTCGCGGTTGGAGAACGTGCGCGCACTGGCGCCGCCGCGGCTGCTGCTGTTGGTGGTGGCGCTGGCGCTGCTCTGCCGCCTGGTCGAGTTTTGGGGGCGGAGCCACGCGCTGCGATTGCAGTCACCGGAGAAGCTTTTAGCGAAGGACGACAACGTTGTCGGTGACAGTTGTTGGTCTCTTGGTTTGTAGCCCAAGGCCCGAGCGCAGGGAGAGGGAAGGAGGGGAGAAGGATGCAGGAGAATCTGTGGAAGGCTGGCCCGCCCCGCGAGGGCGAAGAATGTTCTCGCCCGAGCACGGACGGAGTGGAAGCCAGATGTTGCTCGGAGGGGCGTGTCGACGAAATGACTGCGCTCTCGCGAGGTGAAATAATGCAGCAGTTTTTGTGACATGTGACCTGGATGGCGTGAGAAAATCGGCAGCCTGATGGCATTATATTGAAGTTTCCAGGTACTGTTCGGAGTGTATGCACGAGACTGTTTCACTTTGGACGAAGCCGATTGGAAATCTTTATTTTTCCTGTAAAGAGGGAGAATCGTTGTAGATGCTCGGGAGAATTCGGGCCCGAGATGTGGGGCCGGTGTTGTTACTTTGCTCCGTGGAAACGATCAAGCGCTGTGGTAAAATGTGCCAGGAGTCTGTGTTTTCATGTTGGTCTGGTCAATGTCTCTCTAAGCTGGAGCCCAGTTGACTTGTTTGGAGTCATGATCACTGTTCCTATTTTAACTTTCTACTTTGTACAACCAGTCACGAAGATTGCACGTTCTCTTCGTGTTAGCGGAGAGTGCTGACAGTATCAGCCCCGTCCGCTCCATCCATCGTTTAGCAATGATAAATGCTTCGATACAAGAGAACATAAGGGAGTAGCATCACTACATTGAACTTGTTTGCAGAAAGACAAGCTAAGGAACGGGGAACTCATTTTTATCGTGCTGTGGAAAGGTAAATTGTAGGATGTGTTGTTCTTCTAGCTTTGAAGAAACATCTCACTCCGGCACTTTCTTTGCTCAGTTCACAGAGGTGAGGATAATCGAGTAGGGAGATGAAGTAACCATGGATCCGAGTTCAGTAAGGAGGAGGAGTTTTAAACGAGCTCTCTCTGTGAGGGGGAGAGATAAAGATGGTGCACCCACCTCGTCGAGTCTAGGCTTACCTGTCGGTGGAGCCAAACCTCTCGAAGTTTATGGATTTGTTGGCTCGATCGGCTCCCTCGTCTCTTACGGTACGAGTTTCCTGAAGGTTAGCTGTGATCAATTTTGATCAGCTTGAATTTGATCACCTTCACTTCTCGACTTCCTTGAATTCACGAATTTATGAAGGGAGCGATCCTCACTTCAAGTTATTTCTTTTATCGTGGATTAGGAAACATAGGAGTGCAATGCACCGCCAGGTTCGCAGGAAACTGGTTCCACATTGACCTTTGTTGATTGGTAGCTCCTGAAGTATGGTAACAGAGGCTAGTTGCGATCACGTTGAATTCGTTCCGGAGACTTTGATCATGGTACTGGCAGAAAGATTCGGGAAGAAGAAATTGTTCTTGGCAGAGAGTATGAATTGGATGAGGTTTAAGCGAATGGAATAGCTAACCTTGGCGCTGAACTATTCGAATTTTATTTTCGAACTTGATGGTGATGTGGTGTGGCATCCCTTTACGTTAGACTCTTCTATTACGGAGAGAAGTCGAAGCGGTCAGTCTGTCATTTGTACTGAAGAAGAGTATATTGAAGCTTGAAAATGCTTCTTTTTTCCAGCGGTCTACATAATCTGGGCGTATACACCCGAGTCATGGCTTCATGCTCTCGGTATAACATATTATCCCAGCCGGTGAGTCTCGTGCCTGACTTGTGGTCAAATAGGGGTGAAAAACTTAATGTTGCTGGGCTTTAAACACTGGGTCCTTTTACTGCGAAGTTGTTCTCGTTTAGCTTCACTTCGTTGCACTGGTGGAATGCATCAAATGTTTCGGTAAAGCAAGAGAAATATGCGCTCCTTATTTCCAATGTTGCATAAAGAGGCTGAATGGAATTTCAACCACAATATTTGGGGCGGAGAATTGGAAAGTACATCCAAATATTCTCCCAAATTTTGAGTGGAGAGAACAGCACCATCTGAGGTGTTGCGCAGATCGTGATTACCTGCCAGCCTTGAATCTAGGTTCTTTTGTGCGAGCTTCTAAAGATCTTAGATCACAACCTCAACTTTTGATTAGTTGAGGTTTTGATCAGATCGTTACCTTAGTCTAGGGAGCCTAACGACTTAAGCTAATTGTACAGTTGTAGCCACCTTACACAGACTAGTAAGCCAGGAATTTCAGCCAGAAGGCAACGGTCTCCGAGTGAGAAATTTCAGTGACCTCTTGCTTCCAAGTCCGTTATGCAATAGAACCTGAAATTGATGTGGGTAAATATGGGTGGTTCTTTCATTCGATTGCTTAGAATGTGGTCAAAGCTGACTTGAGTCTGATAGGGTTCTCCGTAGTGATTTGGGACTTAGGTGCCGATATATGTTCCTGGTTCAATACCTTACTTATCGATGTTTGAGCGATTTCAGCTCATTTCGTTCGATATTGATTTCTTCATCTCGACTTCGGCTAGATTCCCCCCACGACAGTTTGAGATGCTAGTGTAGAGCACAATTTGTAGAGTGAAGGTTTGCGGAGCTCCGGTTTTACCCTATCGTTAGATGTGTGTTGAGGACATCCGACTAACCTTCTGTCATCCCCTCCGTACATATTCTGTATTGGATGTCGAATTGACTCATTCTTGGTTATATCATAAGCAGTGTCATGAAGCGTACTGCATTTTATTTATTCCGATCGGGTTCTTGACAGGTACTGGGCAATTGCGATTCCGTCGTACGTGATCATCTCAGTCCTTTTCATATGCGTCTTGTACGTGAGCTTTAATTTTTTGGCAACGAATCCTCCTCAGTCTCGATACACTCTATATGGTAAGAGATAGAAATTTGCCATTTATATGTTCAACATAACCCTCATCCTATATTTACAAAGACCTAAGTGAGTAGAAACAAGATGGCTGTTTCTTTTTCGAATTCAAAGGAACAAAAAAATAGAGACGGTATAACTTGAAGGCTTAGGGGGGAGTTCTGTGTCCTCTCGGTAGATTCAAGAACAGGTGACTGACTTGGGATGAACCTTGTGCTCGAAGAACTAAATCAAAGCAACGTGAAATGCTGAACAGTCTTGTGCGTTCTCCCATCATACGTCCTACGATAAAATTGCAGCGTAGTATTTTCCTATGCCTGTTCAAACCATCTTCACTTATCACACTAAGCATAGCTTTTCTTCAGTTTCTATTTCTAGTTCTTGAGGTTTTTCCATGACTTCTCGTGCTAAGTGATGAAGTATCAGCGTTTGAGTTAGTTTCCAATGTCATAGACAGGTCGACTTCCTTGAGAGCAAAGGTGAATTGAATTGTAAAATAAGTTTTGCAATTCCTTTCACATCTCTGAGGAACATTATGAGACGGAATGGAATTAATTGTCTCTTGTTGCAGACGAATACACGAGGCCTAGCACGGACCTGACGTTGTCAAGGTTCCAAGCGAGTGACGATGAGCGGCAAGTTATCCCTTCATTCTCGGACATGCCAATCACTGAAGTGAATGCTTTACTGCTGGGTCCTGCTATGAGTAAAACTCTGTAGAGGAGGTCTTCATGGTGGACGATATTGGTCCTGCATTCCTATTTTCTATCCCTCAGGTGGAAGGTCCTGGTATGTTTTTGTTACAAGCTCGTAACTGGTTCTTCCAAAGATTTTTAATAATTTTGAATAGGAGTTACATTTTGCTCAACTATTTCTCTGTATTTTGTAATATTTCTTATCCTACCATTCCTCTTTCATGGCATTTGAAAATTGCCGTTGAAAATTGAATCACGGAACACCTGTTAGAATCGGATACGGAAAGGAATATGCAGTCACATTTTTTAGTCTTCTTGGGAGTCCCTTTGTTTCTCACTGTAGTTAATGCTTTCTTGCCGATACCTGAAGTCTAAGTTGAAGTCACAAAAGACAATTGTCTTAGTATGCTTAGTTGTAACACAGGATAAAGTGTTATTTGTCGATTCACCTCCCTAAAATTATACCTCTAATTTCATCGCAGCAAGCAGTTCTTATTTAAATTTGTCATATGATCGTAGAAATGTTGAAATGGGAAAACATTACACGCCGAAGTATAGCCACGGTCAAGAAATCGTTCTGTTGAGGGTGGATACGAAAAGACATGACGTCAGCTTAGTGATCAAAATCCAAAGGCCATGGAGGTTGTATAAGGTGGGAAAGCTTGGAAAAGAAATTCTGACTTTGATTTTTTGAAAGTTGTTACGCTCGTCCGCCGGTCAGTTCTGATTCATCGATTGATTGAGTTCCTGATTATAAGTTGTCACGATGTGGTATACTTACAGGACCAGTTAACCTTCGATGGGATTCGTAACCTTGTTCACAGTTATGCCATTTCTAATCCAAAGAGTGTGCTTCGAGTTATCAACAAATGCGAGGTCGCACCTCTGCACATCTAACTTTCTAAGGAACTCCTATCCTTTGGTATTATTGGGGTCGATAGAAGGTGACAGTTATGACGCGAATATTTCATCATGCTGGCAAGAAGGAACATGTACATGTAACTGAAACAAAACACACGGTGGTCTCAACAAACGTCACCTTTGTCTTATCTGAGTTTTCTTTGACAAATACTTCTTGCATTCATTTTCGGTTTCCTATCGTGTAGAACCCTGCATCCCTTGTAACTGCTTACTCTGTTCGACTGTCTTGTGTTGTTTGGATGATGTTGAGAGGGTCTGGCCTCCTGCAATTGAAATGGCCTACTGTGAACAGCAGGGCACCACTTTTTTGGTTCAACTATTAGATTCATGCTTACTAAAGATCCGTTCATTTTTGTTATGTCAAAGAATTACTTTTGGAGTGACGTCTTTATCCACCCATCTACTTATTGTTTCATGGTTCTTACTTGTTTAGGCACCACTTGCTGACAAGGCAGCTGGATTGCACGTACGCTTTCGCCTTAATGGCGATTCCTTTCCTCCTTCGGTAAGGAAGATACTGTCCAGCATCTAAATACTCCGGAGAGTTCGTTGTAGTCCTTTTGCTTAATATAGTGTGAAAAGTTGTCTACATAGAACTTGTCAAAGAACATGAACTAACACAAGAATCCACCGAGGTTTTTATGTCGTAAACTAACAAAAAATATAGGCAGGAATGATTTCGCTGATAGTGTATTGGATTGTTCTCTAATTTTTCCTTGTAACTGCGTCTTGCTTTTCATGTAAGTAGGTTGTCTACAAGGTATACACACACAGACCTGTAGTGGTTATGGGTTCGTTTAGCCCCCGACAATACGCAAATGGTCCGAGGCATTGTGAAGGTGGACAAATTTGGCAATCTCTCTATTCCAACAAATTCTTTTGATCAATTTGATGATGAAAGCAACTATCAAGGAGGGAGGTGTAAAGAAAAAATCATAAATATAAACAAATTATACTCTTGACTTATTACATTCATGTAATTAGCTATTCTGATGGTGACAACGTTGGGTAATCAAGGTCTCAGTATGTTACCATGATTGTCATCAGAAACTTACCTCAGATGTGATAACAACGGTTGGCGCTCAATAGCTGGCACACCTGGTGTCCAAAGTGGCCCTAAAGTTAAGCTTCAAGCTCAAGCACAGGGGTGAGAAGAATGTGCAGCTGTGGGACATCACTTTGTCTGGAGCTATTTTATTCTTACTTAATGCATGCTAACGTTCTTGCATAATAACTCTCGGTTCTCAAAGTAAACTAAACTTTTCACAGCAGATCTCAATGTGTTTCCGAAAGAGCAAGACTTTACTTGTGGCTGTTCGGGAGTGAGTTGCAAAATTCAGTAGTAGTTTCTCAGATATTTACATCAAAACATACTAGCACCTACTCTCCTGAAGAACGAAAAGTATTAAAGTTGTTGGATTTGAAAAAGAGAAGAAGAGCTTGGCTCATGAAGTTGTGAGATTTTATCTCACAACTTGGTGTAGATTGAGATTTTATCTCCATCTACACCAGTAATACTACACTTTATCTGAAGTTCGCTAGAAGTACGTCTCATCGCCTTTTAGTAAAAATTTGTAGTCTCGCCCTACTCCTTGGGATGCGTAGTACTGAGATCTAGTTATGTAGCATAAACTAAGAGAATAGTATCTAGTGAATTCAACCTGTGTGCATAACGCTCAAGTTCAAACAGTCGTCCTTAACTCATTAGTTATAGATATATATATCTTCAGAGTTCCCGGAGTCTAGGAATAATATAATGTAATAGAGAAACTTCCATCCTCACATGTAGAGACCACATACTCTTGTGAAGTGCGTTTCTTTACAAGAAGGAACAAGACATTTTTACATTAACTTACAGAAAGCAAGCGATTCTGATAAAGCGTGGAGTTTCAGGATAAAGGTTTGAATGCTTGAAGCCCTACGAAACCCGACAGATGGCATTGCATTTCCTCTCACGGCAATTTATGCTTTTACTTTGTTCTTTCCCACCTCCACAATGTACACGTACCTGAGCTTCAGCTTCTTTTTCCGCTTGATAGATACACTGACAACGGCGCCAGCAGCGTCCCTGAGCATCGTATGTAACTCTGAACCTTTGTCTGTGATATATTTTGTTTTTCAATCTTGAACACTTCTGCAACTTTTAGTCGAGTTGATCTACTTCCATCTACTTTATTGCTCTTAAAGTAGCAGTGTGCACCAAAACACTGGCAGTTTTTTTATAAAAGCATAAGATGCTCATTGTCTTCCTCTGAACGTACCGATCTTGTAGATTGTTAGCACCTCCATGTCAATCTTGTGAATTTGAAGGTTTATGGAAGTTACTCATTGTAGCTTGTGTCTAGATAGTTTGACCTGATATCAGTCAGATCCTCCAGTAAACTCTTCGTTGAAGTGCTGATTCAGGTAGAATTATCTTATGCTCAATCAGTCTCCATCTCCTTCTGCATAGATCAGTCAGCTTTCCAGTTGGTTTAATTGAATAATTTCATTCAGTAACTCAGTTTGTGGTATTGACATTCACACAGGCGTTCACCTTAGACCTCAGCAAGGAAAATCTTTATAAACTGCAAAATGTCTTTCAAGAGAAAGTTCTTCTTTGGAAGGAGATTATCGCTTTAAAATCATTACTATCTTAACCCGCTCTTGTATTTTTCATATGGGAGTTGAAATCCTGAGGTGTGATATGTTGGTCTAGTCCTTTCGACTGTTACCTGAACTTTAGAGGTCCAGATCACCCCAACTTCCGTCATTGATTATTCCGCCATCAAGGATTCATAATATTGTTCTGCCCCGAGACTGATAATCCTCACTATTCTGTTGTCATCGAACAGGAAGTGAATGAGCCCATATTACTTTATTCACTTTATTAAGGGCTCTGAAGATGATAAGAAAATATGTTTCAGTTATTGCAGCCTATGTGTTTGATTGCTTGCTGTGCTTACTTGTTCTGATTGTCTGCAGCCTCAAGCCTCCTTCATCTACCTGTTGTCTTTCTTTCATTTAGTCGGTATTCAGAAGCACCACAGAAGTGGTATTATGTCATATCTCTTTGATAGCTTCTGTCATACTTCAACTGAGTTACTGATCTCATTTAGAAGGTCTTGATTCTGCTCCACCCCTGTCACAAATTTTCATATTTATGCTTTAATCATCTTTCATCCTGAGATTTAATTCCAAGCATACAAAATACTGTTGCAACTAATGACTTGACAGAAATTTTTGTTTTTCAATGGCACATGTGCTGAACCTAATGAAAGAACTAAGATAGACAGCAGTAAAAGCTGTCTAGAGTTCTTATACTCAAGCAGGATTGAGACTCGGTCGAACATTCTATTACGGAAAATTTATGACCTTGCACTGAAGTTTTGGTACTGGCGTAAAGAACCTGGACGTATTAATCTTTTGCATTTAGCAACCTATCTAGTTGCGGTTTTAGGAGAAGAAAAGTGGGGTCAAAAGGGTCGAGAAGAAAGCCTTGAGGACACTGCAGAATTTTATTGTCAAAGACGATCAGATATTGAGCTGCTGCGATGGAGCGCAGGTATATACATTTACTCTTTATCTTAGTAGGTGTATATTACTAGAACACATCGAAGTAACTTGGGTTGCTGCCGAAGTGCCGAACATATGGTATCGGAAACCAAAGGCAACTATCTTCAGGTTTAGATTACAATGAGTTCGAACAAGATTGATACAGGATGGCGACCTCGATACCAGATGAATATGAGCGGGATTGGTGCAAGATAGGGACGTCTTTCCCTTCTAGAAAACCAGTGACTCAGGATGTGCTCAGAAGAAGTTCCGGTGTTCTGTATAATTCTCATCGAACCTTAGTGGAGGAGTGGCTGTGGTAGTGTGAATATTCGGAGTAGTGCGTCTGTGATTGTAAAGATTGAATTATGCAACATCGAAACGTCGTTCAACATATTTTTTTAAACGGCGCGAGGTTGAAGGGATTTTGCGTCAAGAAATACAAAGCGATAAGGTTATCTTGTGACCTTAAGGAGAACCCCTTAGGCACACTGTATATTACATATTTCTCACGAATTTTTACACTTGAGTTTATGTCTGGACAGATGAGGATAAGCTAAAATGTTCGGAGGTAGGGTTTCCCCTCTATTGACATTGAAGAGGAACACAATCTCATCAATGTACATAGAACTCCTCAAAATACAAGTGTAAAAAGTTAGAAAAATATTGAGAAGACTTTTCTTGAACGTACACTTCTAGGATGAGGAGGTATTTTGAGAAAATTGGGAATTGTAGACACATCACTAGCAACGAAGAAAAAGAACCTGTCTTGATAAGGTTTCCTGTTTTTTGGTGACGTCATTAAAGAGAACTGGGTAACCCCTTGTTGAAGGAACTTTCGCGTGAAGAAGTATTTTCATCCTACAAACTGAATGTTAGCAACGACATAAAGAGATGCATAGAATTAAACGAATGTCATATATATAAAAATATAAGTATAAGTATATATAAAACTTTGTGGATCAGCTTCCACGCAACCAGCTGTCAAAACGTGAATCCACGATACGGACATTGAATTTATACATGTTAAAGTGTAAAGTGATTTACTATCCGTGATCGGGTCACTTGATTCACCCTCGTTCCAATTAACCAGCACAATTTACACATGTGATTTGTGCGAAGAGCCAGAGGAGCATGTGGCGACACACGGTATCCATCGTTTATAGCTACGAATGGGAACTCAGGAAAGAAGGAAGAGGAATGGCCTCAGAAGAGGAGTGACCTCCGTGTTGAAACTACATCCAATTCTGATCTCGAAGTCGGAAGCCCTCTTGCGGAACGGAACAGCTGTCCTCACAGCGCGAATCCTTTTAACAGGTTTGCGTGCAGGCATCGAAAGGCCGACAACTTGTCGACAAATGCGTTCGAGAGACGACGGGGTTAAATCGAGCAGATGTTGCCCGCTCGAGGATCGTAGAACGCTGTCCGGTTCTTCCCAGAGAATCGTCTTCGTCAATTCCACGCTACTATTAATGGTGACGAAACCCCGTCTCCCCCTTTCGCATGCCTCCACCGGAGGCAAACCCCGGTGGTCTTAGCCCACGCACACCTGAGTCACCACGACCCAGAATGCTGGTCCACATCATCATCATGAATCCCCTGCAAATGGATCGATCGAGCCAGCTCGGCCCCGAAGAGCACCCCCTCTCGGTAACACCCTGCTGAAAATTGCGCTTAAATTATGCAGCAAAGGGCCACTTGCGTATTTCATAAGAAACACCGCACCGTGCTACCTTTCGTGGGACATAGCAGTAGCTTGTTCGAGCAGATGACTATTCCATCACTTTATGTGCTCGTATTTACGCCGTATATCATGTGCACTGGCCTCGTACGCATACATACAAACAATGTTCGATGCGTCCTCGGGGTAGAACCAGTGAGAACCATCTCACACAAGTTACTTCGCTACCAAACCACCGTACTCGAGGAGTAGCACTGTAACATGGCATTATAATATACGCCAGAACTGTGGCGATATACTGAATTTTTACATTTGGCTGAGAAACTCCGAGCGCATCCATCATCTGGTGACTTGGAATGGATGACCCTTTTCATCGATATCTTTCTGACTTCGCATTTGGGATATGGGGAGAGATATGAGCTGCATAGATTAGTGTTGTTTGGATTTTGTCTTGCCAGTGGTGGTCATGATAGACTCTCAACAGTCAGCTTCGGTCAACAACCTTGCTCTAAGTGTGGATCCCATGGAGGTAAACTCATGCGCATTAAGCTTCATGTTCACTCGACTCACATCCATTATGCCTCAGTCGATATTCGAATATCCATTCTGGTGGGTTCCATCTGCAGTTCAGGACCAAATCTCTGACCCGTTTTTCGCTGAACAGGCACTGAATTGCGAAGCGTTCTCAAAGTGTTCAGCAGTTCTGTCGCGATTTTTCGCTTCCATGCATTGGATTGTATATCCGATGTCTTCTCTCTGTTCTACTACTGGCTACAATTTTGGATAAATAGTGGATCATCTTTCATAATAAATCAAATTGTTTAAGTATGTGCGTTCTTTCAGACGAAGATCTACAGAACAATAATAACTTAAGTAAGCCAGATGGCAACTTCCTACGTTAAATATGCATATTCCCCGGATCTTCATGCTCCAGTCACCGCCTGTGCATGATTTTTTTCTACTTAAAAAAATTATATTCTGACTTGTGATGAATATTCACCTCAACCACTGGGCGGAAGTAAAAAATGTACACATCGATGAAATTTATATCTCTTTCTCTCGAGTAAAATTTCCAGATGAAACAACGTGAACGACAACAGACTGGGTATCTTGGTTTTGATAGATGTTTGGGAAAAGAAACTTTGAATCAGGTCATTTGACAAATGCGTATACAGGTGAGATTGACACCATCAAGTCTTACAGAGGATTCAGAAACATGTGAAGCCCATCTGAGAGGAAGAAAAGGGTAGCACATGAACACTCCATCAACAGCAGCATCCACACTTGTCATTCAAAAGTAAGAAGAGAAGAGGAACATGAAAAGGGCCCAAAAACACATGAACGGGTGATTTAACTTGCTATCATCTTCACATCAAGAGAGACCAATGTTTTCCTGACATGAAAAGTAAGACTCAAACCAACTTACTCATAGTTGTCGTCAGAATAAGGTTTGGCTGAGTCGTGCAGCTGCCCATCGTGACTTTCCTCTTCACTTGGTTTCGAGCAGCCAGATCCGAAATGGTAGCAAACTTGCAGAAATTTTCAAACGCAGATGACGCGATGTCTAGTCACACGAGCCCTTGACCAAGACCTGTGCGTTCGATCCCTGGGGGTACACGGTCGGAAGACTCCCTAGAATGTACTAACGGAACGAGAAGAGAAGGTGATCCGGATGGAATATTGCAAAATGAGTAAGAAGAATTCTAAATTTCTAGAAATGATCAGAATATTATTGTATAACGAGTCTCAAATAGCTAATGCCAGGTCCTGCAATAATAAATTCCCCATGGAATGTACTTTATCCCCGAGGGAGAAGACTCTGCAATGAATAAGTTGCAAACCTTCGTCTAAGCGAGTCTGATGGTCTCCAAAGCACATCTTGCAAATAATTTGCATTATTTTGGACAGATGATCATAAGCATTTAGAAAGCATTGGGAATTCCATATTTTTTTAGCGTCAAGTCATGGACTGTGGAGGTATAGATTTCTCTTTCTTTCACCCTCCCTGGCTCTCTCAAAGCAAAAATATAAAAAAATAAATAGATATACATATACATATTCAATATTAAAATGCACATCCATGCATAAAGCTTAGAATGGCCACTTTAATGTAAGGTGTTCGTTAAGAACCACTGAGAAGGAGGTCAATTATGGAAACATGGATGCAAAGAAATAAAAGAGAAGCATCTCATTAAAGAACGCAACATGGACTGGGAGTGGGCACGGCCCAATCCAAGAAAAACGTGGAAAAGGTCTAGATAGGGCGAAATCATAGACGAGTGTTCATGAATGACGCAAATCTATTCTGAATGAAATAAATATGGGCTAAGAATATGAATCAAACTGCTCCTTCGTTTTTTAATCCAGGTATCCAGATAAAAAATTTGAAAAAAAAAGTGGGGGTGAGTTTAAGCCGATATATCTGGATGATTGTAGATATTTTTGTTCATTTATCTGAACGACTGTAGATATTTAAAGTTCATAACTTCCGAATTTGGGTCAAGTCGTTTCGCGGCAGCAGTGAATAAAAACTCTACAGTCCTTTTCACTTCATCTTCCAAAAATGAGCATTTTTCAACGAGGTAGAATTGGGAAAAGGGGGTAATAGTAATATACTCCGCAGTGATATGATGTTGCACAGTGTCACTTCCTACGAAGAAATTGTTGTCAAATCACAAGGTGACAAAAATTAAGTGTATAAAATGCTCTCAGAAATACCTGTTCATATGACGATGTAGATGTCGATGGATACTCATCACTGCCACGAAAGCCCGAATCTTTTTGACCTCCATAAAGTAATTATACTTGTGAGGTCGCAATACATCCTGGTTAGACCCGAGCTCAAAAACGGGGCCTGGATTAGCTTCGGTGAATATCATAACCTTATCATTATTACTATCTACAAACCAAATTCAGGGTAAGTGCATCAAGTTGATTTTAACGCAACCATATGGTTAGCCAAAAGAAAAACTTTCTGGCCGCTCATACACCGAACTAGAGGAGAAAGGGAAGAAGTTTCTTTCTTCCACATCGGTCACTTTGGACTGGTGGATCATATGCTCTTCGTGATTTATTTTTTCCCAGCAAAGGAGGAAAGGAGGCACGCTTTTTGGTGATTGGAGAATAGAAAATGTGAAACTTTGGCCCTGGAAATATTACCGAAAAGGTGTTGAACCCTTCCATAGAAATTTTTTTCGAGATGAAAGATAGATTGACTCCGTTGACGAGTTGTGCACAAAAGAGGACACTTGTTGTATAAGTACAAAGGGGACCACTTTAGACATAGCGTGCTATGCCATAAAATAGTTCGAAAATATGATGAGAAAAAACTTAGAGACCTCTTCTCTAAGTTCTCTATGTGGAATTACACTTTGGACATGTTGGTGGCTTGGAACTCAGCGGGATGCTAAGCATGATTATGATGCAGCATAAATTAAAAGACGAGAGGAGACACTCACATGACACTTAGAAAGGGGTGGAACCAGAGAACCCTATTTGAATTCGAAATGGGGGGAAATAGAACTGTGGGAGTTAGATAGGTACGCCAATAATCATTGCCGATTATTGAAAGCACGGAGGTGATCAGGCCTAATCACAGCACCTGGTCGCACTAATTATGCGAACCGGCCCGACCGCTGACACCCGGTGGTCCAGTGGCCCGGGAAACCCTAAACAACCGCAGCCCCCTCGGACCCTCGGACCCTCGGACCCTCCCCCACACCCCACCTCAGCCCTCCCCGAAATTCTCCCTCCCTCGGACCCAGCCGACCCGCGCCGATCATACGGTCCGGGTACGTACCCGCGCGACCCATAAGTCCAAATCTCTCCCTCGGCCCGTCCCCGTCCGCGCCTCGGGACCGAAGGGCAGGGCAGGGCAGGGAAGGGATTCCGACATTTCCAAGGCCATCTTCGGATTTCGCTGGCGCCAGATTTATCGTCCTTTGGGCGGGGGCGGTGGCAGTTGGCCCCGGGGAGTGTTCTTCTGTCTTCTCG